CAAGTGATCATTTGGCGCGTCTTGAAGAATTTGCTGAGCTGTACGATAAGTCGCTTGTCTCTGGGCAACCAATCACTGAAGCCCCCAGCCTCCCGTGTTTGGGTAAGAGATAACATTCTTGAATTCCAATTTGACATTAAAAATTTGAGCATAATCAGAATTATTCTTGAAATCCCTTAACTGGCTGAAGCCCCAATTGCCCCTTAGTAACTTTGGGATCAAGCAGTATGATTTTTGTTTCTTTTTGGATTTTGGCTGTTACCCCTTCTCCAGCTAAGAAAAAGGTCTAAATCAAAAGACAGTGGAGGAGAAGGTGGCCAGGAGTTTTGCAGTTCTTTGCCCACTGCCTGTAGCTGTTCTGGGAACATGCCTATGAGCACCTACATAGCAACTGATGTTGGTTACTTGGGCCCAGCACCTGATAAGTGTCAGATGTGCTGTATTTGCTGCAGAAAAAGATGTGACAGGGAATTTGAGAGCCACGGGGTTAGTTTAATGGTTAAGTGCTCAGCCGCTAACCAGAAAGGTCAGCTGTTCGAACCACCAGGCTCTCCGAGGTAGAAAGATGTGGCAGTCTATTTCTATAAAGATAACAGCCGAGAAAACCCGAAAGGGCAATTGTGCTCCCTCACATGGGGTCACCATGCATTAGGATTGACGTCATGACTCCCAGCAAAAGCGAGAGTGAGTTTGCCAGTGGCCTGTTGAATGAGAAATAATGACGCTTCTGTCTTTCATTTCCAGGATAAGTGTGATGTCTCAGGAAGGTGATTATGGGAGGTGGACAATATCTAGTAGTGATGAAAGTGAGGATGAAAAGCCCAAGCTGGACACGCCATCTACCTCTTCTCTCCCCTGCGCTGGGCAGAGAGCAGCCCGTGAGCCACGGTACACCTGTTCCGAGGCTAGGCGAGCCGCCCACAGAAGGAAAATGTCACCCGTGAAATTCGGCGGCACCACGGAGTCGGCTCCGGCAGTTTCACCTCCCAAGAGGCAGAAAGGCAGTTCCCAGGACGACCTCGGCTGGTGTCTCTCCAGTAGTGACGATGAGCTGCAGCCAGGCATGCCACAGACACCAGCTGGGGCAGGGCAGGACACAGAGGAGCAAGGGCCCACTCCTCCCCAAGTCTGTACGGCAGAAAGGACCAGAAACCACGGCCCTCCCGTCAGGCACAGGCTCAAAGAGGAGGAGGAGGATGAATACGAGACATCAGGGGAAGGCCAGGATATCTGGGACATGTTGGATAAAGGGAACCCCTTCCAGTTCTACCTCACGAGGGTCTCAGGAATTAAGGCAAAGTACAACTCTGGAGCCCTGCACATCAAGGGTAAGAATGCTGCACGGCTGGCTGACTGCGCCTGGCGGTGTGCTCTGGTAAATGAGGAGCAGCCTAGTGTGACCGCCAAGACCCTTTATGATCTTAACTTCTCTTAGGAAAAAAAATACCAATTTGACATGCAAGTACAGTAATTTGAGTGAACTCTTGATTTACTTAGGCTACCCCTTATCATCCCTTGTT